AGGCCCTTACATTTCAGTCATTACTTCGATAAACAAGAAAATTTGTAAGTTTACATTTTCCTTATGTCAGTCAGTCAATTAATCAAACAAGTGCTCAGTGAATGCAATAGACAGACACTTTGTGTAACAATCATGTATTCAGTCAATCATTCATCCGTTCGTTCAGTCAGTCAGTCATTCAATCGTTTACCTAATTGGTTTGGTAGTTACCAAGTCAGTGAATACTATACTTTCAGAAATGCATTTTTGCCATCAAACTCAATTACGGAATATATTCCGTACCAGTAACAAGGCAGTGCACGTGAAAGAACGTGGAATTATAAGGTGGTAGTAATAACAACAGTAAAATTGTCATTTCCACATGTAACTTATCCATGTGTTGTGCTAGCACCTTTTCCTCGTGCTCCGTGTTTGCAGACTAAATTTGATTATTTCCACAGATTTGCTCCGAAAAATTGATTATTTTATGTTACTAATGGAAAGCTAGTGAACTTATATTATTCTTCTCAAGATTACAAAATCTGTTTGTTAAATATTATATGCAAAGCATGATGTAAGCCGACAGTTCCTGAAAAATATTTTGAACAGGACCATCTGGAAGTAAATGCCTGCTGCACATTTATCGAAGTTTGATTACCTCCCCCTCGTTCTCCGTCTCACCACCACCACCACCACCACCGCCTGAATGGTGTTGTTGAAATGAGCGAACAGAGCGAAATCGAGCACAAATTACTCTTTAATCTCTCGCATCAACCATTCGCCACACCGTTTATGAGACTCATCACCAGTCAATGGGATTATCGATCGTCGAAATGATTAGCCGTTCGCCCAAATTTAAGAAGTAATCGGGTTTTGTGAAATTATCTATGCGACAACTGGTAATGCGGTAGGCACACAGACCAACGCATGCATGCATGCACACACACACGCACAAACTCAGTGGAGAAGAAAATTTACCTTAAAGCTGCCGAAATAAAGTGTACAATGAGAATGCAAAAACCCCTATAGTAATAGACCCAAAGCGATGAAAATCTTCAATTCTTTTTGGATTAGATCACCTAAATCCACATTCTGTATAAGGCAGCTGCACATCCATCTCATCCTTCTCACTGATGAAGATAGCAGAGTTGAATTCCCCACAGAAACGGGAGTGTAATTACTTTTGCGTTGTTTTTGTTTTTGTTGTTGTTGTTGCTGTTATTATTTAGGCACATATGAGAGCGGAATCTACAAATGACTTTACCTCGTTTACTGACTGCACCCATCACCCTGACGGAGTGAGACGGTAGGGTGTGTTTGGGGGAGTTGGCTACTTGAAACAGCGAATAACGAAAGAACAGTGTTCTCATTTGCGTTCTGGGAAAGGTGATTGGTGAGTTGTGTGCCAATTTCTTGTAGTCGTATGCCCGTCTCTTTCCACATTCAACTAGGTCCCAGGGAATCGGACTAAGTTCAAGCACAATTCAGTCTACATCAAAAGAGTATGAAAGTATAGAGATAGTAGTATCCTACTATCTGTCTACTATCTACTATCCTACCCCCGCCTTCCCACCTTCAAAGAAATAGTGAAAAATAAACAGTTTCTCATGAAGAATAAGGAAACTTTCCCAGCGAGTTGTGCGAAAGATGCCAGAAATAGCCTGCAATCATTGTACAGTTTCCCAGTTGGTAGATACAAAACTGATGAAAAATTTTCATACAGCCTAAATGATGTTCTCTCTCCGGTTATTCCACATCGCTATCGCATCTTAGCATCCCAAATCCAATCTACTGGAGTCTGCACATTGATCTGGAGATGGAGTTGGGGGTTAGAAACGCCTTTTGTATTTTTTTAAATGAATTTGTTCTCAAGAGAGCGAATAATTTGGACTTAAAACGGAGAAGTTTTTATTTATTTATGTGTTTCAATGTTTTCTCTAATGTCAACCGCAACGAGAATTGTTCACAGGAATGCGTGAATTGAACACCAAAGTGAGATGGACTGTGATTTACCCGGTTAGACTGGAAGATGCTGAATCCGAGCTGGCATCAGCTTACCAGTACAGCTCTGGATGGTGTATAAATAAGATCTTCCTCACTCATTTGAACGCCAGTGATTTTTACCTGTTGCATTATCTCCATTAAAGCAGTCGTATTTCAGTAACCACCGGTAACTGTTCCGAAGCTCGTGTTTCTCTACCCAGTGTACTTCCGTTGGAAAAGTGAAGTGAAGGGAATCTCGCAAAGAATTAATGAATTTTTGTGTATTTTTTCACGCGAAAATATACTCAGTTAATTATCAATATACTGCATATATATAAAAGGAAATTTCTGTTGACATATAATTGTCTCATACATATAGAATAAGCATGTGCATATAACATATATATCCATACGTAATAAATTATTACATCATACAATGACAGTTATGCACAATAGTATATCCTATTTTTATTCTGTACAGCACAAGTATTAGGTTTACCATGGATACGAAGATCACTGCACTCAATTTGGTATATCACCTATTTTATCTTGAAATTGAGAAAAGTTCAGAAACCTACTGAACTTTTCGCAATCTGAACATTAAATTTCCATCCACAAAAAAACAACAATTTAAAAAATTAACCTTGCTTTATTAGCTCATTGGGTGAATTCTAAGAAAAACTTGTCGTGGTTTTTAGCTTAACTGCTACCTGGATTCCTTATACCTCTGTAATTTGGATGGGTGACTCTAATGTGAAGTGATATGACCAATTCATTGGTTTTCTTATGCTGTCATGCTCATCAAACAGTCATTTCAATCAATTTTAATTCCACTTAGAGTTTTCTTAGCCCCTTGTTATTTATGGAAAAAATGTGTGGTTGAATCAAGCTACTCTGGTATTTTGTTCTGCATTTTTCCGCTGAAACTTTCATTGAGTATCGGTCGTAGAGGGTGATTCATTTTAGTCTCACATCATTAGCGACAGAGCAAATAGATACACGATAAAACAAACTTTGCCGTATGATCTGATCCACGCGGGTTGCATCGAAACCGGGCTACCTCGTACCCCGTCCGCATGTGGCCTTGACATCTAGTATTCGNGAATTACTGATTACACATTGACTGATTTTTGTTCAAACCGTACCACAAACCCGGAAACTAATTTGTCTATTCAAATGTCTGTGTTACTCTCCTGAAAAACCATATGGCCTTTAGTTTGCCAACGCTCAATTTTGCAATCATCATTATCGGGGAGGGGGCTTAGTGGAATGTATCAACGTGGGGTATTTGGTCAGTGATCCACTATCTATGCACACTTAGTTCGAATAGGAATCAGCAATGTAGGGATAGGAAATCGGTTTGAAAAATCTGAGGAGATGCAAACCGGACCAATTCCATCAGCACACACACACACACACAGAATAAAAACACTGATTGCACACAAAGTTATTCAGAAAGTAAAATATGGTACCTCACACATCTGACGCCAAACTGTGTGCCAAACAAATCATGGTACAATTTTTTTATAAAAAAAAGAAAAACGTTCCATGATTTGCATGTAGGAGGAATACTTCTAGATTACCCAGGCCAAAGCAAGTGTATTTTGGTGGGGTATACACAATTGGAGCCTTTCGGCAAGTCACAGCGGGGAGGTGTTTGAAAACTATAGTCCATTGGGGGCCGGAGTCCAGTTCATCGGATCATACGCCCTTTGGACAGGATCACACGTCAAACGTGCTCAATACACCTCGATGCCGGTGACCACTACTACAAACAAGGTATTGGTAAGTGTGGTTCATACGTCTCTTTTTGGTAGGAAAAAACCTCCACCATGGGAAGGCTTGATCAGCAGAGGCTATTTGAGACTCCTGGTTGTATGGGAGCATTTCGTGAGGTGCAGGGGAAGGGTGACGAGCTAAAAAGCAGAACACCCACCAACCTACTCCAACCATACTAAAGGTTTTGGACGTAAAATAATCGCAAATGTACTTAGATTCACTACTATCAATAGTTTCCTACCATTTTATTTATTACAAACGAAGGCTAACTCCAGAAACTGATGGAGAAAATGAATACATTCGGATGCGTTTTTTTAACTATTCTTCATTGTAATGTGCCATTTTGTGTCGGAATGAAGACATGGAAAATTTGTTGCCGAGACTCGTTTGATCATTGCAGCGCATGTATGCCAAACAAATTGGTTCACATTAATTCCATACATCTACGGATTCCGGCCCCATCNCACCCCCCCCCCCAACCCCCGGCCACAAATGCTAAGCATGTGATGCGATCATTTGGAAATTTTCATTCACACGTTTTATTTCATCCGTTGCAGGTTTAATCGGGGGCAACGGAACCATGTTTCCTTGAATTCAGAGCGAACTTGCATGCAGCGCAATACTGAAAAATGGAGATCTCATTAAACACGACAACATGCAAAACCACGGTCGCGTACAGTCCAAGACTGAAAAACCCTTGGTTTCCCTCTTGCTAGTTTGCTGTAAGCGTGACGGAAACATAGTTAGCGCAGACAGAAAGAAAACCCAGTGAGTTGCATCTTATTGTGCAATCAGCATAAATGAAAGCAATTGCAATAGGTGATCATTCACTTTGGAACGTCCGTCCGACTAGACTCAGATTGGAAATGCAGACTGTTTGAGACTACTAATTATGCAAAGTGTACCTGTTACCGATTTAAAAAGTGCGATAATAATAGTGAAGCATTCCGAACAGCGTTACCAAACCCGTAACGTACACCTACACGTACACGCACACCCGCCCATTAAGGATCTATACAGGCCCTGTGAAAATGTTCAGAGAAAATTCCGACCAGGATCAGATTAAACGAAATTGGTTTGCTCACGAAAATATCAAGCATCAATAAAGGAAACGGATAGGCATATTATATCGCTAATCTGCGGTCTTAGTATTCATTTAACATGTATATTAGTCATATATGACAATTGTTTAAATTATTATTGAATAATTTGAATAACATTAAAAATCTCATACAACAAATAATCAGGTTGTGAAAGTTTCAAGCCGAGTCATCACCCTGGAGGCTAATGCTGAAATGAGTGAGGATCGATAATCGCAACAAGCTCACACAATCGAGTTGTGCTATATCGTGTAAATTCAAATTGAGAAACGGTTTGGTCAGCTGCTCGGTGGCCGAGTGGGTAGCATGCTTGCGTTCTACCTGCAAGGACCCGGGTTCGATTCCCACTGCTGATGAGACCCAACCAGGTCGAAACTGCTGTCTAGTTGTGCTTCTCAGCTTTTCAGCTCACACCTCATTTACACGATGAATTCATCATACAAATAAATCAAATCCTTCTCTATTCTCAGACATTAGAAATCATAGTTTCAGTACTATTAACTTGTTGATGGTATTCATGCCTGCCGTTAACCGGAATAAGTGGTCTTCTCATGGTTTGCAAAGTTAGACTGCTTACATTGTGCGGTTACAGTTCCCTCTTGTCTTTGGCGCTCTAGTGCGGAGAGCAATTCATTCTCTTACATTGTGTACTTCAGCATGTATCACAACGGTCCAGTACACATATATGATGAAACTTCATCCGTCAGCCACTGATGCGCAAACGGTGTGTAATTTTGAGATTTTGAATTGCAACAGCTTACGGATCACCGATTATGATCTACGGTTTACTACGTCCGGCAAAAAAACAGCAGCCGCTTGTAATCCGTTCAAAAATAATCGATGCTTTCTCAAATAGACCGGAATGGATTGCGTTAAACTCTCGGCAAGGTTTATCTGTCCGGAATACATTGAATTATTTACCCCGGAATCAGTTTTCCTCACATTCTGTTCTGATTTCATCCAATCCAGAGGTGTTTTCTCACCAAAGTGAGAAGACGAAAAGCCCACATCCGGGGATATAACCGGGTTGTTGGACCACTGGTAGTTCACCTAGGTCACCTTGATTCCAAACCAACCAAAAGGAGACGACGAACCACATCTAAACCTTTCCGGTTGTGGCAACGGTCACTGGCTCAATTTGGTATCGAGGTGTATTATGCACCATTGACGTTTGACCCCGTCCAAAGGGTGTATGGTCCGATGAACTGGACACCGGCTCCCAATGGATTGCGGTTTTCACACACCACCCCGCTGCCTTGCGAGTCAGGCTTTGAATAGCCGAAGGCCCCGATTGTGGATTTCCCAAGAAAATCCACCTGCCTAGGCCTGGGTGAACTGGTAGTATTCAACCCACATGCAGATCAGGGAACATATTTATTTTTATAAAGAATATAGTTCCACGATTTGTTTGGCACACAGGCTGAACTCAGACATGTGTGAAATATAATAATATAATAATCCACAGCTGGCAATGAACATGTACGGTTGAATTATGTATTTTTCTTAACCACAACAAAGGGATCGCTCAGGCAGAAAAACATTCGCGTTGATTTTTAGTGGCAACCAATATCGACAACCAATATCTTGAAATCCAGCCTAAAGTTGGTAAGCGGTTGAACTAGTGTCATGAGATACTACTCGCATGTTTGAGTAGTTTGCGCACACCAAGAAACGGTCGTTGTATTTTCACGGCATCCGTGAGTAGATTAAACGATATATACTTTTGCAATTACAGAAGAGCCAAACAGAATTTCAGGTTCTCCATCATCGTTAAAGGGACGATCAGGGAAATACTAACCTATTTTTGCAGATTAGATGTTTCGTTCCGTGTAATCATTTTTATCCCTACGTAATGCTGTTTTTCCTCGCTCCGGCACTGTTTTATGGAATTACAACACTACAGTATCTTTTAGTAGGCCTAACTAATGTGTGACAGGTTATAAAATGACCTCGAGGAGCGATACTGATATCCGACGTGATCAGCCTGACTGCGAGTTTTGATTATCTCGTGTTTTCTGAGTACACAGATAAAAGTGAGCTTTAATTTCTAAATTGCATTCCTAAGGCAAATTTGCCGGTGAAGTTGATAATCTAGATAGTAGGATAAGAATTTCAGGTAAAGTGGCTAGATTTGAATGATCAGAACTAAATACTTGTACTCTGGTGTAACCTTCAATTGAGGAAATCCATGTAACAGCGTTAAATCCAAGGTATAAAACTATTTAACTAAGCGCCCGTGTCCAAAGCCACACTGAGTGTGGATATGAACACCAACGACGATAATAGAGCTTCAAACGATGGTTCAAATAATGCTGAAAATGCTTGATGAGATATTAAACTGGAATCTTTGAGAGAAACTGACTTTACTTATGCCAGAAAAACGGTAACATCGCGACAGGTGGATGTTCTGCCACTTTCAATTAATTTCACTCGTTTCGTGCAGACTTGAATAAGAAGTGCAACCGTGTGTGAGAGAGAGGGCTCGTTAGCCTCTTCATGAAAAAACGAACGTCAGATAAACTGTTTTTCTTTGACTCATCTACCATGTGTTTCAAAATTCTGTGAGACAGTTTTGACTGGTCTCCCCAACCGGCAAGTTTTTCACTGGATTGCGGTTGATTGCCTAACTCAAGTTTCGCATTTTGAGGACGATGTGATTACGAAACTTCACAATTTTTGATTATTTTTACAGTTCGGTGGTGCCATTCAGTGTTATATTAAGGAATGGTGAATTGAATTTATCAGATTTGCAGTATTTGTTTACTTAACTAAAAATGAATTCTTATTGAAACAGCACAACGATTTTTTGGTCTCAGTTTAACTATCCTCTGCTGAAATTTTCACAATCCCAACAAAAGAACTTCGATCTGCCAAACAGTCATTTGCACAAACAACCTTGCCTTAAATGTTCATTTGGTGGACTCCGGTGAATTCTAAGAAAAACCTGTCGGGGCAGTCAGCTTATATACTCACCGGTGGATGCCATATACCTGTGTGTCGGAAGGATCATTCGAATGTGAAAAGATCAGTGCTGTCAGTGTGGCCTCGTAGCTCAGCTGATAGAGCGTGCGTTTACAAAGCTTAGGCGGCGTCCATGCATGGGTTCGAATCCCACTGAGGCTTCTGAACTTTTCACAATCCAAACATATTCTCTAATGTCATTATTTAGTGAACCACATACGCAAACCATCTGCCTTGTTTGAGTGCAATCGAACCAGTACGAACATCGAATCTAAAAAATAAATTAGAAACTCTTGCTGCGTAGGTTCAACTTATTTTGAAATGGCGACGAGTCAAGTGTTGAGACTTTCTGCCCTGAATGGTTGAACAGTTTTGGTTTAGATGTATACAACACCGTCTCAATCTGGCTTTACAATCTTCCACCTCTACCTCCACACACATACACACATACACACAGTGTTTTCTAACCTAGTGTCATTAACGATAAATAGTCATTAGGACTTTGTGGTATATGGTACGCACCTAGACGGGCGAGAGAAACGAAATGAGATGAAAAAACCAAAACAAT